AAAAGGCTGTTAATTTACAGTATCTGCTCCAAGCAAAGCATAAAGTATCAGTAATTCATTTCTCTCTGTTTTTGGCTGGCATCTACTCTCAAGCTGGCAGCCAGCAAGTCCCTGCCATCCTTCTGTCTCTGCCCTGGTCCTGGCTTTTCTATGTGGTTCCTAGGATGGGAATTCAGCTCCTCAGGCTTGGGTGATGAGTATGCTTACCCACTGAGCTATCTCTCTGGTCCCATTTGTGGTCTTTCAAAAACTCTTCCCTCCCATATCTCTAGACCCTGTGGATCTTGTAGGTACCACTTGTCTGCAGGGACACATTCAGTCACTCTTCCCATGTTAACTGAACATAAGCTGGTAGCCAAGGGTCTCCTTGGTTTCCCTCTAAACTCCTTACAAAAGCTGGCTCCTAGTAATGTCGTCTCCTCCCATAGCATGTTATTTTGCACATCTATGCTTTGTCAAACTACTTTCATCTTCTAGAATATTCTCCCAAATCCTGAGTAAATATGTGACCCAATTGCAATTTTTTTTTCAACGAATTCAAACCCCTGACACCTCCCTTGCCCTGAAGGCTGATTTATGAGCATCCCTGTTGCTTTGGCTTTGTGCTCTTGGAGATTCATTTGAAGCCTCTTCTGAATCATTCATCTTTTTTGTACTCTGACAATTCAAGTCTAACTCCCTGTAGTTCTAATATATTTGTAATATAGGTTTACAGTTCATGTTTAGAAAAGAGCACATTAACTTTAACTGAAGATCTTAGCAAAAAAAGTAAATATCACTTCTACTCTGTACAAAGGATACTGTGTGTGATGAATACTCTATTCATAATACTGAACATTCTAGAAACATAATAGTAATAGCTATTTATGGAATGGGTCTTTGCCAGGGGTGTCAAGAAGTAAGAGACACTTCTGAGACAACCGACAGAGGCCAGAGATCGGGATGAGCAAGAGGTGGGAAAATGAGAATAATTTCCAGAAGTGCCAGCAATATTGATGGGCATGCTAGGGCCCAGGATGCTCAGGCACAGGGAGGCCTTGACCTGTGAAGGCTGACACTGGACTAGGGACTTTTATATCGTCCGCATTTAACCCCTACATTGCCTCTTTTAACTCCTACAATATCTTTGACTAGAGGTTATTATTTCTAGTTTAATGGAAGAGAAAATGAATTGAGTATAGAATTTGATTTGGATCAATTTCAGTCTGACTTTAATATGTGCACTAAAACTTATACTAACATAGGTAAAATGTTGCTACTATGCAACTTGGACCGACCCCACTCCCATATCATGTGGCTGTTGTTTCATACACGTGCTGTGTATGCAGACTGTTAACGTAGAAAAAAGCACCTAAACTTGCTCATTCAAGATATAGCAGACTAACCACTAACTTAGTCACAGTTTTAAGCTTTAAAATAAAATAACAAGGAAAACAATTTAAAGTTAAAGCCAGTTACTGTATAAGCAGTAAGAAGAAAATTGTTTTATGTTTTAAAAAAGTTGTATGTTGACAATCATGTAAGTCTGTGTTTGTATATTTATGTGATACATTTATGTATGTGTATGCACACATCTATGTGTGCATGCAAGTGTGTACGCAAATGTGTACACATGTGTGTATGTGCACATATGTGTATGTATGTGTATGTGTACATGTGTGTATGTATGTGTGTGTATGTATCTGTATGTGTATGCATTTGGAGGCCAAAGGACTCTGTCCATCTTGTTTATGGAGACAGGGTCTCTCATTGGCCTGGAGCTCACAGATACAGCTAGGCTGGCTGAGCAGTAAGGCCCAGTTATTTGCTTGTGTCCACCTCCACAGTGTTGGGATTACAAGCCCATGCCATCACCCCTAACTTATTTTATGTGCATAACTTATATTATGGGGATGGAGGTCCTTGAATTTGTGTGGCAAGCACTTTCCTAGATTATCTATTTCTCTAACTCAGGATTATGACTTTCAATAAAAGGTTTTAATGAAAATCATGGTCATATGACTCTAATAGAATGTAATAGCCACCCAACACTTGTAGACTGAGCTCATGAGTCATCCCTGCAGGAACAGCAAGTTTCAGGAGAAACCATTACTCTGAGAAAATACCAAGACAACGAAACAAGAAGGCCGAAGAACAAAAGTTGCTACAGAAGGACAATTAAATTGCTTTTGATTTTGGGGGGATTAAGAATTCATGAAAGTGGACCATATGAGGAAGAAAATATTGTTATTCGTTCATTTAATGTGTTTTACTAAATGCCTTCAAGAGCATGAGTTGCCAAAAGTATCATGGTCCTACCTAATAAAGAACATAAAATATAACTGAGTCACAGTATTGTGGGGTGAGAATGGACAATTTCTGTATAAAGGGTAGGTAATAACTAGCATTCTGTATTTTTCCTAAAAATTCAGAGGTTGATCCAAGGATGGGAGATACACATCCTTCTCAGTGTTAAATACTAATATACCTATTATATCAATTGCTAGAAATTCTTTCATTTACAGAAGAAATCAATAAGGCTTTTACAGAGAACCAGAAGTGCAAAGTGAGGCAGTGAAGGGCTAGTGGAAAACAGACAAATGGGATGCAGAGTAGAGGGAAAGGGAAGTGGATAGGGAGGTGAAGGAAGACATCCAAAGTTCCACAATACATATCCAGGGATATGAGGCAACAAGACAAAGAAAGAAAACTCATTTTCCTTCACTTAAATGTAGCCCTGTCTATTTACCTACTTATCTGTTGATTATCTATCTATCTATCTATCTATCTATCTATCTATCTATCTATTATATATATATATCATCTATCTACATATATACATGCCTATCTACCTATTGTCTGTTATTCATCTATCATCTACCTACCTATCTTCTTTGTCTCTCTGCTCTCAGACTTTTTCACTTATTTCTCTGTATATGATTCTCTCTTGTTACCTATCTAAACTTCTATTTCAGATTTTCTTCTATAACTGAGTGCTATGGCTTTAAAATTGGATTTGTGTCCCTCAGGGATGTAGTTCCCATTTGCTTTATATATTCACAGTTCTCTCTAGTCATGCATTCCCTCTCGGATTTCCACGTTAATCATGTCTCTTTTCCCATGTCCATTGACTTTTGAAAATTAACTTTAACTTTTAATATTAATCAAGCAGACCAACAGCAGTAACTATCTACTGACAGGTGAGCAGCAAGGAGATAATCTAAATTCATCTTCTGATTGTGTACTTATTCCATATTACAAACAGCGTAGAGGAAAAATACATACCGCATCGCCCTGTTCCTCTTTGTTTCTACCCTTTACTGAGAAAAGAACTGTGTGTGATGAAAAGAAAGAAGCAATTTTATACCTACAGAGTAAATTATATGCTTAGGTTTGTGTGGTGTCTGCTTTTGTCTATACCTTTGGCTTCAGCTCCAAAGTATAGGTCATCATTAGGAAGACTTTTGAAAAAACACACCTCCAAAGCATTTTATTCCTAGAAGCAACTAAAACTCAGCTTGTTCTCTATCAGTAAAGTCGAATGCATTTGCTAAAGCAGACTAAATTCTGCAAATAACACCCAATGCACAGTTATTAAAAAAATATGGTAAAGGTTTTGGAAACTACAAACATGCACTGATAGGTGCATGAATCAATGCTCATAGCACTTCCTTTCCTGGCTATTCTGCCTGTTCCAGTGTCTATTTGCTAAAAGCTTAGAGACTAGAGTTTAAGGTCAATGCGTAGATCTGTTTGCTCATAAAACATTAATTGTATAACTGTGAAGGACCAGTTGCTAATAACAAAGGCTTAATTCCTTAGGTAATTGGAGCAGCTTTCCAAGTGCTATTGATTTTCCTTTTTTGGGGGGCGGGGGAAGGAGGTAACTGGTTGACAAGCAAATTTTGTAACATAGAATTTCAAATGAAGGGATTGATTCAACTTACACAATTCCCAGCTTGAGCACTGATAAAGGCTATCAGGCACATTTGTGAAACTGTACCTATTTACACTGTGAATGAATTAGAATCAGTCTTCAAGCAAACCTCCTTCAGTCGGGGTTTTGTTGGGTGATGATACAAATGGCTGAGCTATGCCACCCAATTCTTCATGTAGAAACCTGTCTGAAACTGGGCTGCTAGTATCAGCCTTTGGCCATTTTATCTTTCTTCTGTAAGAATTCAGGAAGACAAAAAAATATTGTATACACTTAAAAACAGCAAATATGCTCTTCTCACTAAAAAATAGAACCCACTGTCATTTTTGAGTCTAGGATTTTTTTTTTTGTAACAATGATGGGTTTATTGCCCTTTTGATTTCAAAAGTGTGAGGTGGGGGGGAGGGAGAAAGAGAGAGGGAGAAAGAGAGGGAAAAAGAGAGGAGAGAAGGACAAGGACAGAGAGGGAGAGAGAGAGAGGGAGAGGGACAGAGAGGGAGAGAGAGCTAATTCACTGATGAAAGTAGCCTCCAATCCCCATTCAGGTGAAGTCAGCCCACGTTTCTGTAGTAACCAGGGCCCCAAGAGGGAACTCAAGACCTCTGGGAGACATAATCCTAAGCATTACAGATCTCCTTTGTATCCAATGATGCGATGCATATGTAAATTAACTACATGTCACTGAAAAGAAAACCATTCCTCTTGGGATCAGGAAGACTTTGGCTGATCCTTTGTCAGTTTAGCCATTTCTTAAAATCAAACCATTGCTGCCATGTTGTAGAATGGCACCCACCTTCTACCTCCTGTACTCTGTCACAAAGGTGGGTGCTGGTAGAAAGCTCTATGAAAACCCGGATCATTGTCTAGATTTTAATGCTTAGGGCTGCAGAGGCCTAGCACACAGTCCTGTCCCTCCCCTCTTCCCCCGAGGTTAACAGAAGTTTACTCTGAGAATTATGGAAAAGTTTCTCGTAGTAGTTTGTGCTGTAAAAGTCCAGACAGCCTGGGAGTGGGCAGAAATGAACCTGGGAGGAGGTGTGTGGCAGACAGAGGTTGGGATCAAGATTGACAAACTGGGACTCACCCTTCTAGGTCATCCTGGGAGTCGCTGTCCGAGGCCCACTCTTCCCCAATGTCAGGCAGAGTGAAGAATAGTGTTTTGGGGACAGGCCCTGGGGCCATCCACGCACTGGGCCCTTGCTCTCCAGGACCTGGCGACTGGTGAGTGTTCCTTGGACTAGAGATTGCATTGTTATTGCTGCCCACAGGGATGGTGACAGAGGGCAGGGTTGCCCAAACAGTGCCTGGAATGGGCAAAGCCACTGATGCCAAGGAGCCTGAGCCCGCAGAGCCACTGCAGGAGACTAGGGGCAGCTCTCTGGATGCTCCAGGGCTGTTGGGCAGAGACCCCGGGCACCCTGCTGTTTCCACCCTGCGGGTGGCTGCTGAGCTTCTGGGATGCAAGGCAGGATACAGAGGAGTGGAAGGCTCCAGTGAGGTTGTAGAGTCTAGAGGCAGTGATGGGAGCAAAGTAGGGGTCTCTGCCCTGCTAAGCGATGTGGAGGACACTGATCCTGTGGCCACAGAACTTCCAGGGTGACTGGGGACCGCAGGGGACGCCGAGGTCTTGAAGATCTTGGCAAAGAGAGACCCCAGGTCCAACACAGCGACCTTCATGCTTTGGTCCTGGAGAGGCTACCGTTGCTGCCACCACCGGGAGGTCAAGGACGCCAGAAACTGGGCTGCAAGGCTCCATCCACCGCCACCTGCAGCTATCTGGACCAAGGGGCCCCACAGACGAGTGGGATCCTGGGGTCCTAGCACACAGCGTCCTTCTGTCTCCACCACAGGAACGTACTTAGCTCCTCACAGGTCTGACAGACCCTCCACAATAGATCCACAGGTTGCCGAAGTTGTGACCAAGGTACACGGGCCACCCTTTGCAAGGAGCAATCCCTCTTGTCTCACAGGATAGTAAGACCTTCAAAGGGACCAGGGTCATGGAGATAAAGAAGAGGACTGGTGTTTGTTGCACAGATTATTGCCTGAGCTCACTGGAGATTCCCTCCCTGGCAGGCCCCTGGGGCAGCACAGGCGGTTGCTAAGCTAAACAAAACCCCTGTTAAGCTCTCTGCTAATTGGACTCCAGACTGTATCCTGGGCTGCATCCATAATAGAAACACCAGTTCCCCTCCTTGCTCCTGCCTTAAAGAAACAGTTTCAAATTTCTCCATCACCCTTACAGCTCCAGACTGCCCAGGAACTAGGACATTGCGCATAATCCCTGAAAGCATAAGCATCCATTCCAGAATGTTCTGGACTCATTCAGTCTGACGAGGCCAAATGTACTATGCTTATAATCAGTTCTTCAGAGTAGAGAGGGTGAACAAGAAGGTGAATTATGGAAAATGCTTGAAACAGGGTCTACTCCCTTACCCCAAGATTATTTTCTGTTCATCTCTGGAGACATCAAGAGAGCTTATGTGGAACAATGGTGTTTCACTGCATTTAATGAAAGGTAGAGCATGCCTGTGAACACCTGCAGCAGGATGAGGTCTGTACTGATTAAATGTTTTGCAAAAGCCACGGACAGGGTTTATTCATTGATATGAGTGTTCCACTTTGACCTCTATATACTTTAATCTTTAGCAAGATAACAAATTGGATTTTGAGTCATGTTTTTATGCCTGGTAGTCTGCTTTGCTTCTTTGCTTGTTGTTACTATGTCATTTTTTTTTTTATGTACTTCAAAGGAGGGGAATACTAGTTTGGCTTTCAGTGTCAGAGGTGTCGGGTTATGGTTATGGTCTCATCACTTTGGCCTAAGGTGAGGCATCTATAGAAGCATTTAGTGGAATGACACTGCCTCTTGGTAACAAGAAACAGAAATTCAAAGGAGTCCTAGCAAGCTAGAACTCCCCAGGGCAGGTTACCAGAAACACTTTATCCAGATAGACTTCACCTCCTAAATTTCAAGCAGCTGCCAAAACAGCACTCTCTGCTGAGGACCAAGCCTTCAGCACATGGGGCTGTCAAGGTTTTTCTTCTCAAACTATAACACAACAAGAGTGACAAGCTTTCCAGTTCCCTATAGGCAGGTCATTTTGTGCTTATCATATTGAAAACCGGTTATGGTCTTCTCACTGTCTCCAACTCCACAAATAGAATAGGAAGAACATGTAATTGTCGACATGGAAAGCTTGGAAGTAAGAATCGGGATGGGTGAGTGACAGACAAACCAAGAGAATAGTGATGCATGATAGAGACAGACATGCCGGGAGCCAGACCGGAAAAGCTGCTCCAACTCCAGAATAATGCAAGATCACCAAACACCACTTCCTGTCATTTTCCCTATGCTGCAACTTTCCAGGTGGTCCCCAAAGTGTGGAAGGTCCATCAGGATTGCAATAAATGCTATGTGAATGGCTTGTCCTTCTTTCTCTCTCTCTCCATAATATATATATATATATATATATGTATATATATATATATATATATCACATACATACATACATACATACATACATACATACATACATACACTGTCCAGGGTGGAAGAGAGAATAATCATGACTTGTAGGCTTCCAAGGGATCACAGCCCTGCACATATTCAATGTAGGATTTGTAGCCTGCAGAAGTGTGCTATTTTAAGCCATCCAGTTGTGGTAATATATTATGATAACCCTAGGAAATGGTTAGGGTATGAATTAATTGGAGAGGAACCCCACACAATCACACTATTTTACTTGCAATTCTAGAATAGTATTTCAGAATATACAGGCTCTAAACGGGGCTGTAAATCTAAGTGATAACTATTTTCTCTGATCCCTAGAAAGTGACTGAAAGGGAGGTGGCATTGTAGGAAGTACCATTGTCAGTTAACTGGTGGATATAGCTTTCTGAAAAGCTAGCCTCACAAGAAAAGGGACAATGGGTGAATGATTGATCCTTTTGTTTGCCTGTACTGCCTTTGAAAATGACCTATAATTGCAAGCATTGCAAACCCTTCTAAGCAAGATGCTGGGTCTTTTACACCCATTGTTCATCCATCAACAGCTTTTCAGACAGATGTGAGATGCTACCAGGATAATCCTTAATTACTATCAACATGCAGTTTTCATGATGTGAGCCTTAGGTGATGGACCATGATGCTCTGCCTGAAGCCATTAGTTTAAGAATGATGCAATGAAAGTAAATCATTTATGTACTGGGCTGTACTCATTTTAGACAGGCTATTTAGGAATGTCAAAGTCTTTGATTTTATTTTTCTTCTGATGCTCAGTTATGGCATTGAGAAAATTACAATATTTTTAGGAAGAAATTTTATGTTCTGGAAGTTTGACACTTAATCAAAACAAACAAGAGTAATTAATTTGTTTGTGAAGTGCCCATCTCAAATAGGAGCATCTTGTGTGAGTTGCATTTCTTTATGGAGTAGAGATAATTAGATGGGGATTAGCAGGTAACAAGATCACTGTTTTTAATCAGTTAATTTTTCTTTTGTGATACCAGGTTTACACTGAATAATACCCAAAGACAAAGAACTGTGGGGAAATACAGCTGCATTGACTTCTAACTTGGTTCATTTTTGTACAAATTGATTGTTTTCAATGGATGTGCCTGTTTATTTTCCATGATGAACATAATAAATGTAAACTTTTACAATGCCATGGGGTAGGGTGGGGGGCTGGAGAGATTGCTTAGTGGTTAAGAGCACTGACTGTTTTTCCAGAGGTCCCGAATTCAATTCCTAGCAACCACATGGTGGCTCACAGACATCTGTAATGAGATCTGGTACCTTCTTCTGGCCTGCAGACATACAATGCCATGGGATAATCCTCTTAATATTCAATTAAAGGCTATGTGTTTCTGCTAAGAGAAAAATATTAAAATAACAAGAAAAGAACACATTTAGGGTAATCAACAATAGCAGTAAGATAGCAGTTATTCGTGGATCACAACAATCTACACAGGATGCCACAGTAGGTACAATGCAGTCGAAAAGACAAAGGCCCAGATCAGTGAGCAATCCAGGTGCACTGAGTCCCACGTCATAGAGAAAGCCCTTATTGACACAGCTTTGAGCACCATGATGCTTACTTAATTTGCTCACAGGACAGGAAATACTTCCTTGGTTGGTTCTGGGATTGTTGAAGTAAGTTATCTGTAGCATGAATAATAAAAATTCAGAGACAGATATTGGGGTTCAAGTTCAAGATCAGAAAAGCAAAACAGCCACTAGAGAATTCTTACCTCTACCAAGGCTCAGACCAAAAGGAGCGATCCTGTCCTCAGTGTGACTGCAGACTGAATACACTGTACTCCTGTCTCCACCTTCCTTATGTTTCTCTCTAGTGCTGGGATTAAAGGCATGCACCACCACTGCTCAGTTTCTATGGCTAACAAATGTGGCTGCTGGGATTAAAGGTGTGTGCCACCACTGACTAGCCTCTATGGCTGACTAGTGTGGCTGGCTTTGCACTCTGATCTCCAGGCAATTTGTTAAATCATTAACAAAATATCACCACAGTCATCCATGTCATCAGAGACTCAAGGTCTTTCTCTCCTTTTTATTCTTACACTGTCAGAGTGTTATGACACCAGCCACATTTTCCTAAATAGCTACATTTAAGGCAAGGGGAAGTTTTAGTTCACACTGTCTTTTGAGGAGCAAAATACTTTCCAGAAGTTTCTTAAACTAACTTCTGTTCAGGCCTCTTTGGCTAGAACTAGATGAGAGTCACTTCTGAACTAATGATCAGCAAAGAAAATTAACATGACCATTAGCATCCTCTAGCATCAGAGGAGGGCCCCACCACTACTCGCATTGCCACTTCAACCATATAAGCATCACAGAGCAAGATAGAGATGGTCATTGTGTGGGAAATAAGCAGGATCTGCTGCAATGAAAGCACCTTCAAGATGCATTCAGTCTGATGCACCAAAGAAAACTTAACAGCATAAACACTGAGCCAAGTGAGATGGTCCTTCTCTTGAGAAACTCTCTTACTTAAACAGTGGGTAGCTGACTGTCTGTTGTTATTGGAGGACAGGGAAACCACTAATTCACAGCTTTCATCTTCTCTGTAGTCGTCACTCATACACAGAAAACTTCTTCATCCTTTCAAATGCTGTCACTAATTCTCAGACATAAATATCACACTTCTGAACCATAGTGTCCAGGGCATAATAGGATTTCTGTGGGGCCATAAAACAAAAGAATAATAGCTGCCATGTGTATATGCTTGTTTTTGTTTTGTTCATCTCCCAGGATTTTCTCAAATGTTAGTTAACTGAGATGGGATCATTTTATAGAAAAAGGTTTATTTCACTGATAGCTTTGAAGGTTCAGAGTCCAAATAGCATGATGGAGGTGCTTGTCTCATGAAAATGGTGGCTGGAAGAACATTTGTGGAAGAAGGGCTTCGTTTTCAAGCCAAGCAGCAGACAGCACAAGGAGATGGTCCTGTTGCTTGTTTCATGAATATCCTCTACAGAGAACCATAAAAGATTCATATAAGAACTACGTTAGTCCTGTTCTGTAAGGGGCCGTGGGCCCAAAACTATGAGGCTTAGAGCCCACCTTTGTAAGCCTTTTAATGACCTTTAAGTTTGCGGCTTAAAGCCAGCTCTGTGAGCCTCCTGTAACCTGTAATTAGACAAGGTTTGGCCAAGTG